TCGATCAGAGAGAGAGACCCATTGGGGAACTCCCTGCACGTTGGAGGGACGAATGGAGACGTTGCTGGGGCGCGCGAGGGGCTCGGCGATCAGCGATCACAAGTGATACAGGTAATATTTTTTTGGAAATCGTCCGCGAGAGAAGCCGCGCAATTGACTGCCCCTCATTCGAAAAACACGCGGGATTACCCACTCCACACTCGGAAGCGCGGATTTTATAACAAAACCATGGAAATCATTCACTATCTTTTTTGTGAGATCCGACTTTACAAATCTTTTGTCCTACCTCTTGTGGAGTATGCAGTGCAGTGTGGAACCCTTCCCTAATGGAAAGTATATGCGAAATTGAAAAGGTTCAGAAACTTCACAGAATTCTTTACTATCAACTCTTCCCAAATCCGAATCACCCATAGCTCTGAGTTTTTGCAAGGACAGTTAACAAGAACCAACTTAAGAAAGTCTTTTTTACGGAAGAGTTCAGGCTGATATCATTTTGGCTTTCGAAGTTTCTTGATGAACTTTGAATACAACCATCGAAATACTCGATAAATCGGCAACAACTGGGAGATGTGATAGTTTTTTCAACTCGTTCCCGAGATACGCGTTTCAAAAGAGTTACCAGGAAATAGACTTTCATCTAGAGGACGGTAAAGGTCTAAACAAGCTTCCGCTGTCGATTTTAGCTAGCAAAAGCTCAAGGCAGTTCAAGAAAGCACGTGAAAGATCGATATTTCACATGCTATTGGCATCGCTGATATTTTTCAGCCTTTGCCACCGTGTTTTGCAGACTTGATGCATACATGGGTAGATTAAAGCAGCGCTCACGTTCACTTGATGTTCCTACGCCCTTTTTGGGTACCATAGCCCTCCTAAGGGTGCAGTATGTACTAGTTTTGCATCTAACAAAGGCGAAAGAGGATAGCGCCTATCGCTACGTAAAGAGTCGACCGGCCCGCCCACCTGGCGACCACGACGCCCAACTTCATTTCCAATGGTTGCCTGACGGTGCGGTTGTTCCATTGCTGCTGTCTGCTGCTTCTCTCCACGTCGTGTGGTGAGAGTGAGGTGATAAGGGGAAACAGCTGAAATGAACAAGTGAGAACTCGTGCAACCGCTCCTTTTCTTCGCCTTAAGCACGCAAAACGCTATTCGGTATGAAACTCCTTATAGGGCATTTTGCATGTTTTCTTTTTGATTTTTCTCCACTAATAGGTTTCTTGCTACCTTTCTATTACTAGCTGACCGCATACTCATCAAATATGAACGAGGGCGCTGCTTTAATCTAGTCAAATTTTCCTAAATTCCTTATGCTGATTTCTTGCTATATTCTTACTCACATTCGTCACTGCTATTTCTTCATGCAGGTGTCGCGACCCAATTTGGATTCTCACATACCCTTGTGATCCCGTGGTCCGACTTTTCCTATATGTGTAACTGGAACGAGAAAATCATGATTAGCATGTTCCGGACGCTCGACATACATGATGTGTCATGAATTTGTCTCTACGTGGTGCTTTTTTCAATCAATCTGGCTCTCCTTTCATGTTCCAAGTGTGTGAAAAAACATTTCTACACTGCGAAGCATGTCATACTTTCCACCCATGGATCTCACAAAATCCCGTGTTTACACGACGTTTTCATAAATGCCCCATACAAAAAATGATTTCAAACCAATACAAATTCGCATGCCAACACCAAACACAAACTTGAAAAAACAATTTTTTTTGTCAGTTTTTTTCAAAAATGGTCGTTCTGACAACGCAGCACAAATGATAGTTCCACCGAACAATTCGAATGATCCAATAACAAAAGTACAACAAAATGAATAAATTGATCCAGTAATCTATTTAGAATTCTATTTCTCCGATTAAGTTGGAGAATACGGTTGCCCATGCTCGATTTAGAGATTTTCAATAGGCTTTCGGCCGATTGCACCAATGATTGGTTCTCTGAGCTCACGGACATTGTGGAAATGTGCGTAACTCTCATGGATCACAGGCACCATAAAGCCTCACATCCTCGATTGGGTTAGTTGGGGCTACTCGCTGCCAGGGCAAAAGAGCGGTTTGGTGACGACTGAACCACGCTCGAGCGCTTTGGCTGACATGAGCTGGCCCATTATCTTGCATGAAACGGGAACATTTTCAGACGTTCCATTAATGAGATGGCAGCCCAGACCATGAGACTATGCCATCCTCTGAAGTTCCGCCCGGAAAAAATGAAATTGTCTCTGGAATAATAATTCATGAATGTTTCTTCAGCCTCCCGAGATTTGTACAGGTACTTTATTGGACTAACGTTTCGGCGAACATCACCTTCTTCGGAGCTGCAAGTCGAAACCTATCATCGAAACAATTCACTCAAACACCATTTCTAATTACAGTAAGAAACTACAGGCTAGGATATCTTAGAACTAAGTCGAAAGCCACCAACCTTTGGACGGTAGAACTTCTACCGGGCACTCTGAGTTTCGAGACTACAAGACGGTAGCTTATATATGGTCTTAATAACACAGTTATTAAAATAGTATAGTATATATGGTTTTAATAACATAGTTATCAAAACCATTATATAAGCTACCGTCTTGTAGTCTCCGAACTCAGAGTGCCCGGTAGAAGTTCTACCCGTCAGAGGGTGTGGTGGCTTTCGACTTATTTCTAAGATATCCTAGTCCGTAGTTTCTTACTGTAATTAGAAATGGTGTTTGAGTGAATTGTTTCGATCATAAGTTTCGACTTGCAGGCTCCGAAGAAGGCGATGTTCGCCGAAACGTCAGTCCAATAAAGTACCTGTACAAATCTCGGGAGGCTGAAGAAACATTCTGAATTATTATTCTGAACTCCGATCCGAGATTAATTGAAAGCCGATCCTGTGATATTCTGAAATTTTCTTTCCTTAGGTCATGCCAGCGGAATCGATTTTCGCCTAAGCCATCGCAGTTGGATTCTTTCTCATCAGAAAACACAACCGCGAGTAAAAAACTGAAAAAAAACAAGACAGACGAGCGGTAGGGCACCGCAACCCTCCAGCTAACCTCTCTCCTATCGGCTCTGCAACATCTTCGAGCAAAGCCAATTAGGTTTTCGCGATGCTTTTTTGTTAGAATAGTGCCTAACTCATATTCCTCCTGTAGGTGAACTCAGGAGCCTTCCAAGGCAAGCCTGACAGTATCTTCCGAGACAGTAAGCTGCGAAGATGGCTTAATGGTATTGGTAATTACCACATTTTTTGTATGCGGACATTTTTGAAAACGTCGTATAAGACGGGATTTTGTGAAGTTCATGGGTGGAACTATGATTATGCTTCGCAGTGTAGGCAACGAAGGATACCTACTCCATAAGCGATCTGAAAGAGGAAGGAAATAACCGCTGAATAACTCATGCAAAATGATAAAATGATTCAGAGATGCGCGCAATACGGCGGTCCGCAATGTGTTAAATCATACGCTGCCCTCCCCCCCCCCATGTTATTCGTTATAAAGTTGCATGACCTCCTCAATGAGGGATCAAATACCTGATGTGGACTGGTCTTTAAGTCTAGTTCCTCAGTACTTCCTTTGTTTCACAGAAATAGAACGGGGATTTTTGTTGCAGTCTCGATCGCAGTGATAGTTTACACATCGCTCCAATGATATTATGACAGCTTACAATATCTTTCTACCATTTTCTCATCAAAAATGCAAATCATGGTGCTGTAATAAATCCTAGAGTACTATTTCATTTTCTCAATTGTAATTTGAAACTAGTTCGTTTGGTAACTGTAGCAGCACATGTCTGAATAAACGAATATAAATAAACATGAAAACCAGGTGCCCTACACTTTGTTTTCTGCTGCTCCTCTATATATATCTACGTTTTGAATGAGACTGTTCCGAACCTATGCTTGGAAAGCTTCCGAAAGTGGCGCACTAGGATTCAGAAAGGTTGACGGCATATGTTCAACTCGATAAAGCTGCACTGTTCAGTCACCTACATAGTTACAAACTTACTCTGACGAATTTATTTTTTGTAACGTTTTTCACACATCCTATTTCTTTACGGTGCACGTTTCGCTACACACAACTTAGCGATGCTCAACCTTTCGCAGCAATGTTCACACCTTTCGCGGTCTGTTGCTTGACTCTCCGTTTACAGCCCTTCTACCCCCCCCCCCACCTCGCTCTAATCCAGCGGTTGAACACGACCCTCTTGCTGGAGGATCTTCAACGATGGTGCGTGAATTACCGAAAAAATTACACAAAACCACGCACGGCTCATTACTACACCGAACGACCGGGATAACTTTCCGACATTTTCGGCCCATTTTTCACCGCATAGCGCTGGTTTGCTTAATTGTTACAACCAGTTATGAAGACCACTGATTGCGTGATCCTTTGTGACGTGACAAACAACCCATCACTGCACTTGTAGCATCTCGTGTAGCGAACAACCTGTCTAGTGACAAAGCTTGAAATTCCTTCGCGCTGTAAGCAAGTAGTGGAGTGCAACATTCATATAGAGCAATTTCTCAGCAATGGCAAGCCTATCACTGTAAGTCAGCTATGACATTTCGTTTTCATTTCTGTACCACTTTCCTCATCCTTGACTCGTGCTTAGCAGTACACCTTTGATTCCACGGTGCCTTCTGACGGTCCCTAATTCTAATGCGCACTCCCACTATCGATTAGAGCTGGAGCGCGCTGGAAGATGGGTCTACCTGCCTACAGATACCACATCAAAAGTTCTTGAATGTTGACACAATGTTGAAATCAAGCTGTGTGAGACTATGGCACCTTGCGAACCAACCTAACGGATGGAGTGCTATCTAACAGTCATTTGAGAATGTGTTTTGGTGGTATTGAGTGTTCTGGAAAAAGTACTCACAACGCTCGTTAGGTATGATGAAGCTTAAAGCAGAATGTTGAAGAGAGCTGTAAGCAATGAACTATCGAACGGAGAACAGTTCCTGCACCATATTATTAATAAGAGCAATATTAGGCTACTTATATTGTAAACTAATCTTTAAGATGAAAAATGCCAGCGCTCACATGACACATCCATTTTGAACGAAGCACGGTTGGTACCAATGGCGTTTGATGCTTGGCACGTGTATTCACTTCGATGATCTTCCATTTTAACGGCTTCGAAGATCAATGTCTGAAGAGAAGAGCGGTTAGAAGACAGCAGGTGCTCGAGTCGTAAAATTTATTTAACTTTTTGAAAGACGAGTCTCACATCAGTGGTTTGCTGAAGCGGTTGATTTCCATTTTTGAACCAGGTTATTCGTATATCATCGAAAGGCTTCGCGTCAACACTGCAGGCAAGCAACGCTGGACCACCTTCACGTAAGCGATGCTTGGAACCTAGTGATAGGTTCACTCGCGGAGCATATTGTAGAACGAGTTTCTGCGAGTCGACTTCGCTCTGAAGGAGTGTGCATTGTCTTGTCTTTTATGAATCACTGTAGCTGGGGGGATAGGAGAGAGAGAAGGCATGAGGCCAGTAGCTTTTCTCCTCTGCTCACCAAGACAGTGATCACATCTTCTCCCAATCCAGGCTCGAATAAATACATATGACCAGTTTACGCGCGACCTATCTGTCCTCCCACACTCCTTAACAACAGGTGCAATACCTGGTCCTATTTCAACACACTCACAAGGAATGGTATAAACTTCTCATGGAACTTTGAATTGAGATCTAGGTACAGTCCTCATCATTGCGGACTGTCGGGTCGCATTCAGTGGTTCCCACCTGCGGCGTTCTGGCTGATTCCTTCCCACATTGATCATTCTCGATCACCATTGGTAGAGCAAGGCAGTCGGACTCGTGCCGCGCTGCGCTCGCCGCCCTTCAAAAATTGCAGTGTTACGAGCTATACCTCGATAGAGCCTCGAATGCTGATTATGACTATGTAAATCAAAAGTGTTAGGGGGACATCTCGGACGAGTTCTGGCGGTCAAAGTTTGCGAAAATTCAGTCTTGGCTCGTAAGTGGCGCTGATCGATCACTTGCCAGTGTTTCCAAAACTTCATTTTGACCAGAAACTATTGCTGGGACTAATTTGACCCTCTTTTAACGAAAAAAATTGCCACACTATAGGTGCTGTCGACAACAACAAAGAAAAGTTTCTGATGCAGCCGTATCAAGCCGAAAGTTTTCAAGCTCAACGGGTGAGAGATATACAGTGACCAATTCTATATTTAATCTCCCGAGCCAAATGTTTGATCTACTCACTAATTTAGTAGTTTAGTAGTTATTTAATTCGAAGAGATTTCAAAAATTAGCGTAAGCTGTTATTAGAGTCGAAGCAAAAAGTTCCGCATCGACGGGGGGCAAACCCTGGGAGAAGTGTCCTTAAAGCGAGGCACTTACCACTAGGCCATGATGGCACCGGCCAAAAATCGATCAGCAGCGCTTACGTGCCAAAACTGAATTTTCGCAAACTTTGGGCACTTCTGATCTACATATTCGCAATCAGCATTCGAGACTTTCGATGTATTTAGGTCTCAATTCAAAGTTCCATGGGAAGTTGAAGCCTTTCCCTCGTGAGAAAGTTGTTCAGTTACGTGCAAAAGTTGACTTTCTTGTTATGATTCCTCAACCGTTCAGTAATATCAGAATGGGTATGCTTTAGTGGAGCCCTTTCCAAGCATCTAATGAATCCTTTACTTTTACTTGATGAGCCTCATCCGTCCAGTTTCTTGTTATTCACACAAATCTACTTCGAATTCAGTTGTCGAACCGTCTAGAAGTGGTATTCGTAAGGCTCTGATGTTTATGCGAGATAAGGCTAGGTTGGCCACATTTACTCCCACAACCAGCAATGTATTCATGACAAGAAGAGGGTGTTGTAGCGTCGAAGCGGCCTATTATATACTTTGCAAGTGCACTGGCGTCATTCATGTTCACATGTGTTTGTGTTTTTGTAAATCGCTGTGTATAGAACGCGTTTGCACCGACCTTCGAAACAAGTTTTGAATAAATGACAGTGCAAACAGACCGTTTCAAGTGGCAATCAGTAGCTATAAATCTTTCAATGACTCTGCTGACCCAAGAATACGGTCACAGTTGTCTAACATGCCTGTGAAACTATGTGACAGAAATATTAGGTTGGCTAATAAGTGATGGGCCGTTTTTTCAAATGAAAAATTTGTTCGAAAGTGAAACGTTTTGCTCAGCAAGTTATATATCATCTGATAGGAAACTTCTCGTAGTATTAAGAATATTCAAAAAAAGCTTTGGCTGAGGATATATTTTGTGAATTTTTTACCTTGAAGTTGGAAGTGAAGTCGGCGAAAATTAGCATCCTTCGACAAACTGCCTCTATTTAGAAATTTCATGCTAATAGTTGTTAACTAATTGAATTTTGAATTTGATATTCGAATACAACGAGAAGTTTGCTATTAAATGATGTTAAGCTTGCTTGCAACTTTTCACTTTGAAACAAATTTTTCAGTTGAAATAAACGGTCATTTACTTATTAGCCAGCCCAACTAGCAGTTATTAGCCAGCCCACTAGCCAGTGCTGGGCTATTAAGTAATGACCGTTTTTTTTTCACATCGAAAAATATTGTTCCAAAAGTTAGAACGTTTTGAAAGCAAGCTTAATAACGTTTACATAGCCAAACTTCTCGTAGTATTCGAATATCAAATTCAAATTCAATTAATTCAACTATTAGCACGAAGGGGTTTCAGGTGGAACAGACGTGAGCCTGCCCAATATTGGCAAGGTGAAGGTTGCCAACTTTGAAATTCTTGAAATTAGTTCCAAAGCGCCCTATTGAGATTCCCTTGCTGAGACTTCTACCTCAACCTTTTCCGAATGTATGGAGCAGCTTAAGCGATTTTAGCACCTCGAGTAGACGGCAGTTGTCGAAGATGCTAATTTTCGCCGACTTCACTCCAACTTCAACGACTAAAAAATTCACAAAAACTATATCCTCAGCGAAAGCTTTTTGAATATTCTTATACTACGAAAAGTTTCCTATCAGATGATATATAACTTGCATGCAAAACATTTCACTTTTCGAACAAATTTTTCAATTGAAAAAAACGGCCATTACTTATTAGCCAACCTAATATATCTGCCTCACCCAGCGAGTAGTAAAAGTTAAAAAGTGCTTACAGTTTTGTCCTCAGCGAGCAAGCAAGCAACTTGCAAAAAAGCATTGTAGCTTATTGTTGGTTTTGAAAAGGAGAAAGACAAGTGCATTGAAATAATAGCATGAAGAAACAATGGATCGTTTCGCTTCCACCTAGTCCCCGCCCTACTTCGTCCTGACAACGGCAAAAAAAGATCACAAAAGCCATAATGGAAGCAGGAGTTTACTTCGCGAAAAAGGAGTTAGCCTCTATAAGCGATCATTAACATCTCAGCCTTCTCGTCATTCGATCTAGGCTTGGGTTTTCACCATCTTCTTCTTTCATCTACTCCCGCAGTACCAGCACCTTATTGCTATATTTGTCGGTAATCTTTGCAGTATGCCCATGTTTCGATTCAGAACTTCTACACTGCTTCGTTTATTGTTAGTTATTAGGTGCCCAGGCTCGACTCTCGATGAATCTTGGCATACTTTGAGTTCTCTCTAGGATACTGCTGTAGCCGTGACCAAGATGATATGACAGTTTTATTGGCTAACGTTGCCTTGTCAGAGCCTGGGAAAAAGACAAAAATCAAAGTGAAACTACCCTCGGACATCATTTCAAACCTCAGATAAGCTAGTCCCAGACCAGAAGGATCCAGAGACCTGTCATAGGTCACCACCACAAAGCAACTCACCCTGAATGTACGGCCGTTTTTGCTTGAGACCACCGCTAAACTGACCACCCAAGGGTGGCTTCAGCTGACCTGGCCCCTCGACTCGAGGCCGATGGTAACTGAAGCCCACACAGGTCAGCAAACGGGGCGAGCTCGTTTGTGATGGCCGGGCATTCGTCCTTTCTGTTTATTTTGGGATTTCTAGCGCCTATTCAAAACGCTTCCAAAGTTTTGCGCGCCGAAGCCTGTGGTTCTCGCATCAAAATCTTAATCGTCACCTCAAACTCCACGCCTCCATGGCACTGAACCTGATGACTACTCAGGGGGGGGGGTCTCTGGCCTGGATCGCCTTAGACCATCTAGGTGCTCCTTGACCCTGGAGCACAGAGGTCGTCCCGTCTCCCCGACGTACTCATCCCCACAACTCGTGCATGACATCAGGTAGATCACACCTGAGGCCATGCAGTCCTCCTCCCGCCCAGAAGGACATGTGACACAACGTGTGGTTGGGAAGTAGCGATCATACCCGAGGTTGCGGATCAGCTTCTGCTTGAGGCTCGGAGGAGGGATCTCAAGCAGCCGAATCATATTGTCGAGACCACACCTGCGCAAAGACTATCTCACAGCAACGCTGATCGCATCACTTACGAAGGGTAGTCAAAATGGTACCTTCTCCCAACCCTCGGTCACAGGACTTTGTTGGCTCCTAGTGGGTAGTCCAGGGGGGTATTTGTCTATTGGGGGGGTAGCCATGGAGAGGGTTATTTTCCGAGCTAACTCCAGAGACTCTTCTCTTCCCTTCTCACCTGATGAGACCATTTTTGCTGTATTGAACATGTTCCTGTTGATAGCCCGTTTGGTCCCCAGAGGATGCGCCGACCGGAAATGGACTAAGATGTTCTTGCTGGTGGGTTTTCGGTACCACTTGATCCGATACAGCCCGCGCTCAAGCCGATCTGCACGTTGAGGAATGAGAGCCAACTGTTAGACGGCTTCTCCCTCGTAAACCGAATATTCTCAGCTTGGCTATTAAGGAGGTCAAAGCACGAGTATATTTCACTCTCCGTTCATTTCACTCTTGTGTAGTTCTTAGTTTATTCGCCCAAACTGAGGCAGACTTGAGCGTGATCGTAGTAATCTGAGAAAATCGGAGAAAAATCTGTTGTAAGGCGGAAAACACTTCTGTTCCAAATAAGTTTAGAGAAGGGGAAACACGTGAACACTTGCAATTTCGATTTCCGGTTTCAATTTTTCGTGAGTGGTTCTCTTAGTAGTAAGGAGAAGCACTCACGAGAAATTGAAACCTAACTTGAAGAGTTCCTTGCTGAGGTCGTGGTTCACAATTTGGCTTTTCATTTAATTATTTGTTCCAGTTTCGTGGGCTTCTAGGTGAAGGAAGTGGAAACGAAGAAGAGCACTCCATTCCATTCTACCAGTGATTATTGGGCGTGGTGAGGTGAAAATTTGTGGAGAGGGAGGGTAAACCAAACAAGAAACATAGCAAAAACAAAAGCATTCGTTTCATCATGATGACTGCTGTCAAACGCGCAGTTCGGCGCTCCGAAAGTTATGACGAAAATATGCCTCAACTGCTATCAGGAAAAGATTTGACCTCAAACAGGAGCTGCACCGCACGCTTAACGACCTAATGTGCTACCATGACACCACCCAGGTCTCTTTTTCACCCCTATGGCTTGATGGTCTCTATAGAACGCTCTTCACAAATACTCACATGTTTAACGTGATGGGCCGATTAGTGATACGCGCAGTGAACCGCAAAAGGCGAAAGCCTATACATAATTTTGAACTAGTTT